CTCTCTCTCTCTCTCACACACACACACACACATACAACACGAAACCCTGCTCTGGGCCCCAAGCCTTGTTCTGGGAGCTCAAATCCCATAATTGCAGAGCTGACAGTGATAGCTAACATACGAGACACCCTCACCTGGTCGTAAAGAATGAAAACACCCTACTGTCAGTGCAAGCCAGGAGGAGACTGGGGGGTGGGACCAGCACAGGGGAAAGGGAGCAACATGCAGCACAAAAAGGAAAAGCCAAATTATAAGTATATGCTCTGTGGCGAACGTGCATTAAGATTATTTGCGCATCTCTTGTCAGCATGCTTTGCAAGGGGTTTATGAGGCTTTAAAAGGTTTTATTGTTGGCTGAGAAATCTTACTCATGAGTGACACAACAGCTAGCATTATGTCTAAAGGAGGCGCAAATGTTTTTCATAGATAAACTTGTGAAATGTGAAGGACTGTGACACATCATTATGTTGTGGCAATGTGAACAGATGCCACTTTTCATTTTGTTCTTATGATTTATTATCGTTACTTAGCCAGGCAAATCAAAACGTGCTCAAGTTTTTAAGGAAGGCGTGCATGTTTTTGGCTTATGAGAGGCTTGAAACCAGGACCGAACCATTAAGCCGTGCAGAATTGCAAACCTCAATGAACCTCAAATTTGAGTAATCGTGTTTACATACAAGTGTCAAATCAGGATATAAATAAAGCTTTCCTCCATCACTATGTTATATTATTTGTGTACAAGTAGCATTTTTTTATTATTATTTCTACTAGGGTGGAGGAAAGTTACTCCACCACTTAGGCTATTTGGACAACATATTAAGAGTCAACTCTGCGACCTTAAACTCTAACAAAGCCAATGTTTGGCGCCCCATATGGACAGGCCTTCATTTATCATCTACTTAAACTCCTGCAGACAGCTGTGGGGAAAGAACAGGAGAGCCATGTTTGTTTACACCAGATCTCCTCTGAGGCCCTCAGGACAGAACGGATAGAGCAACTTTAAACAGAATTACATCCAGTCACTCAAACAGCAATAAGTGAAGAAGTAAAAAGCAAACTGACATGCATGATAAATATCTGTCCATCTTCGGAGACAGATTTTGCATTGAGCCAATTGACACGACCTTTGACCCTTGTTTCTCTAAAAACTGATGATGTCATCGTGTGCAAATCCGTTTGTTCACTTTGAAACATTTATTAAGGTTGTGGCTCCCTCTTGTGGCCACATCGAAGACTACAAGTAAAACACCAGCGCCACAGCCATTGGTTATAAAATCTGTCAGTCAAATGACTGAGGCGTTTATTGGTCATAAGCAGGACGTGTCTGAAATGGTGAATTCCTATTGGTTTTTCTGCCCACACCCACCACACTGCGTCCAAACCCAAGGTGAAAGTCAAAGGAAGCAAGCCGGTYAACACAACAGCCGCCATTACAAGAAGTCATGTCGGTGTTTTCTGAAGTCTCTCAAGCAGCTCCTGTAGCTGTATTCAAGCTAACACAGGACTTCGTTAACGACCAGTATCCTAACAAGGTGAACCTGGGAGTTGGAGGTAAGTGTGTTGTGGCAACAGCATGTACACCAGGAGAAACGAGCAAAGCGGAACAGCTCCTAGCATTAAACGAATAGATTAAAAATCTATATAATTATTAAAGTTTTCGGCTTCAGTATATTAGATAAGGGCCTAATATCTGGTGTGCTTATAGCTGAAACTGATTGCGTAAGGTCTTGCTTCAAAAGGTTGACATTAACAACTGGGGGAGTCAATTTTGTCTGTTAGCAAAATATCCCACGAACCACTGGACGAATTTTGATTAAACATTCAGGAAATAATCGTTTGATGTACATCTGCACCTGATTTATTTTTGTCACCAATCAAATTCAAGATAGCCATCCCAGCCAACCAACTTTAGAAAACACAAAAATCACTGTAATTCAGTCAGTTTGACAGATATTGAGATACAATTTATTGTGGGTGTAGTTGGGAGGAATTCACAACACATACTGTAATTGCTTAAGCTTTGCATAAAATCTCAGCATTACRTGTTTGAGTCAACCTTTCATGTTTCTGTTAGCAAAATATCTCAYGAAGCACTGGACAGACTTTATTGTTACTTTCAGAAAATGATTGTATCTACATGTACAACAAATWGACTTTGTGTCTGTCCCATTCAAAATGGCTGCCCTAGCTAACCAACAGCCAAAAATGACTTGTGTTTACATTTAATGTGGTAGTATTATTCTTAACACACTGTGACCGTGGCACCTTATGATGTTGCCCCAGATTACGCATCACATTTTTAATGTCAAGATAATGAGAATAAATAAATGAGGAAAAAGCATCTCAGTTCTACATACATTGGATTATTTATCCATCATTACACAAGAATAATCTACCTGCAAGAGATYCATGTCTGGCTTGGGCATGTGTCCCCCTCTTAAAGCAAGTAAATGAATAATTTCAGTAACCTGCACTGGTGTTTGTCATGCTAATCGTAGTGCTGCAAACATTTCGTTTATAATAAAAGAGTAATCTGAGACATGTGCAGCTCTTTTGTGCTAAGAAAAAAGGCCAACTGTGTCGTAGATCCTCAGGTCATTTAATCCCCGTCCCYCTGCAAGACTCAGACTGCTGCAGATGGTCAAATGCCACAGTGCAGCTGGTAAATGTAGGACACACAGTGTTCTGCTGTCACAGTTCCGGAGGTGAAGCAAATTAAACCTCAAGTCGGCGTACAGAAACGCTGCGAATGATCATCAGAGTGCTCGCAGCTGTAGGAGTTTTGAATATTTCTTTTGTGGGTCTATACAAACTTTATTAAGAAAGAAAGCTGGTAAAATTGTCTCTTAAATGTCAAGGTTAACACTAGGGCTAATGCTAAGCTAACACTAACACCATATTTCCAGATGCTGACTGGGGTTTGGCAAAAACATATTGTGTGTAACAAATTATGAGGAAGACTGTCACTGATGATTATTTGGCACTTGGTCAAGGCTGCAATTAGTGACTTGACCTATATATGTCATTGTGGTGCAGAACTAACCGCAATGCTCGCACAGAGCTAATGCTAAGCTAAAAATAGCCCTGCACTAGAGTCAAAAACTTGCAAGTGCAATTGTCATCATTTAGTCATCATATTAATTGTGGTGGGATAAACACCACAATTAATCACAAATTAAAAAATATATAAAAATATTGCTTCACCCTAGTCAAATCGAGGCAGAGAATTTTCTAATTCAACAATGATTTGGAAGCAAAAATTAATTGCAATGCATTGATGACTCAAGTTTCACCTGCCCCATAGGACATTATTTCCTCTCAGGCACTGCTGCTCAGTGACTTAATGATGGAAAAATTCTGTATTTTCACTGAAAAGAGTCTGTGAAGACGTAACCACCGCAGACCTCCCAGCTTTCAGTTCATTGTTGACATTCTCTTCAGTCTTGTGTCAACACATAATTTCTTTTAGTTTCTTTGTTGTTAAAGAAAATGTAACTTTGTTTCTTGCAGCCTACAGAACAGATGAAGGCAAACCTTGGGTTTTGCCCGTAGTGAAAAAGGTGGAGAAGATCATCGTGAATGATGACAGGCTAAACCACGAGTACCTGCCCATCCTGGGCCTGCCTGAGTTCAGATCCTCAGCCTCTAAGATYGCGCTGGGAGACGACAGTCCTGCCATCCAAGAGGACAGGGTTGGTGTCGTAAMAGTGCTTCTGTTCTGAACCTTTTCTTGTTTGGTATGACAATTCTTTTTTTGTTTGTTGTTTTGGTCAGGTGGGGGCTGTCCAGTGTCTTGGCGGTACTGGCGCTTTGAAGATAGGTGCAGAATTTCTTAGGCGATTCTACAACGGGACAAACAACACAAAAACACCCATCTATGTTTCTGCACCTACTTGGGGTAAACACAAATAAAATAAAGTAAACAGACTCACTTGAGGATTTTGCTTACCTTGCAAAAAAAAAAAAAAAACTCTTTAGACTCTGTGAAGACTTTAGACTCCAGGTGTTATTAAAGCTTTGTATGAGTAATTACACATTGCTATCATTTTTTAATCGGTGACCCTTTTTATCAGCCAGAAATAAACTAATCTTGTATCTACAGGAAGCTTAAGCAGTAAAAATAAAAAAAAGCTGACTCAGAGTTTTTTGTTTTCCGTTTACTTTAGAAAATCACAATGGTGTGTTCAGCAGCGCCGGCTTCGAGGACGTTCGTCCCTACAAGTATTGGGATGCAGAGAATAGAGGTCTTGATTTGGCGGGTTTTATTGGAGACCTGGAGGTAAAAACATGGATTATATTACTATTTACCCGTTATTGTTCTTTGGGAATTCATTCTCGTCTCCTTTATTTTTGCAGAGCTGTCCAGAGCGCTCAGTGTTCATCCTACACGCTTGTGCCCACAATCCAACTGGAACCGACCCCACACAGGAGCAATGGAAGCAAATCGCTGAGGTCATGAAGGTAATTATACTTCCCAGATACACGCGTACAAAACGACGCATATTTATGTACTACCAATACATTTTTTGTAGGGCTGTCAAATGATTAATATTTTTAATCTGATTAATCCCAAAGTAGCTGTGAATTAAACATGATTAATCTTAAATTTAATCCACATTTCTATTGCATATTGATAAAATAAATTACTTGAGTTATTAATTAGTTTTTAATGTTTTTTATTTAGAAAACAAAATTGTTGCTTAGACATGATTTTTTGAATATAAAACAGGACCTACAAAAAAGCTCCAAACATATTTGAGTCAGTTAAATTTTGTGCAGATTAATGGTTAAATCAAGAATTCAAGGATTTTCATTCCAAATGAGKACTACATGAGGAATGAAAGATAGATACTAAGGTCACAGTTGTCAGCAAAACATAAATAAATAAAATAAAATAAGCCATAAGAAGACAAAAAGAAAAATAAAACTGTACATAATGTGTTACAATGGAGTTTTTTTAACCCTTTATTTATCCAGATACACTGTTTGAGAACCACTTCTCATTTGAGTGCATTGCAATATACAAACCTACTCATCCTTAAAGTGATTGTAAATTTTAATCGCGATTAAAATTTTTAATCTATGCCCATGCAGCACTAAAATTAATCAGAGTTAACTCGATTAACTTCACAACCCTAATTTTTTGGTTTTGTTTTGTCTCGTCTTTTTTTTTTTCCAGAGGAGAAAGCTGTTTGCGTTCTTTGACTCGGCCTATCAGGGCTTTGCCTCAGGCAATCTTGATAAAGATGCCTGGGCGGTTCGCTACTTTGTCTCCATGGGCTTCGAATTATTTTGTGCTCAGTCATTCTCCAAGAACTTCGGCCTCTACAGTGGGGACCCGCCCCCCCACACACACACACACACACACAGAAACAACTCTTTAAATGTCCACTTCAGTTTTTGAGCTCCTTCTGAAGGAATAATTGATTAAGTATTAWACATTATTTTTATCTCATTTGCAAAATGAATAAAATACAACCGGTTTGTAACAAAAACAGTAGAATTCCCACAAGCAGAGCTGTTTCTTTAGTAAACATTTCAACATTTATCTCTTTAAAAGACGACGGCTTCTCTGCTTTATGTCCGACTTGTGCTTGTTCCATCAGATGAGCGTGTAGGCAACCTTACGGTCGTTGCTCATGATGCTGACAAACTCAAGAAAGTCCTCTCCCAGATGGAGAAGATCGTCAGAATCACCTGGTCCAACCCGCCGTCTCAGGGAGCTCGCATCGTCGCTATCACGCTCAACTCGCCGGAGCTCTTCGCTGAATGGTCCGCAGAGAATCTCCTCCTGGAAAGATTTCTCAAGGCTGTTTATGAGACACACGTCTAATTTTGAGCTGTTTTTTTTTTTTCCTTATTAATTTATAGGAAGGAAAATGTAAAAACTATGGCTGAGAGAGTTTTACTGATGAGGGATCAGCTGAAAGCCAAGCTTCAAGCACTGGGTACACCGGGGACCTGGAACCACATCACGGACCAGATTGGCATGTTCAGCTTCACGGGGCTCAACAGTGAGTTTCAAGAACCTGCAGAAAACACTTCCTGACACACACAGCTTAGCTTTAATCGTTAAATGTAATCAAAATAGTAAGCACATTAAAAGTGCCTGTGACATGCATATCCTTCAAATACAAAAAACATCTTTATGTTCAAAAAACATGACATAGCACACACGATTTTATCCATTTTGTCACCTAACTGGCGTATTTACTTTGGAACTTAGCTGAGCCAAAACCAAAACAGGAAGTGACATCAAAGGGGAACTCTTCCCTGTTTTTTTTTGTTTGTTTATTGAAGCAATATTATTTGAACTCTGACAATCTCTGATAATCACTTAAAATAAACTGAAAAATAAACCCATCAGTTTCGTCTCTACAGTCTGTAGCCATTGTTCAGACATTCCCCTTTGACATCACTTCCTGTTACTTCACATGCAAATATCTCAACAGCTGTTCATCTCAGCGGTTTGAATTTCTATATATATTTTTTTCAATATGTTATCAAAGTTATCGTTCCAAATATGTATACTTCTTTTTTGTTAATAGTTGATGTCACAGGTACTTTAAAGACATCTGCTGTTGGCCAAAGTGTTCATACAAAGTACCGATTTGTGCATTTATATAGACTCTTTATGATAACACGTCAGGTTAAAATAAAAATAATTTTGCTTTATTTACCTGCAGCCAAACAAGTGGAATTTATGATCAAAGAGAAACACATCTATTTATTGGCCAGTGGTCGCATCAACATGTGCGGTTTGACCAGCAAGAACATCGACTACGTGGCCGAGTCCATCCACGAGGCCGTCACCACGGTGCATTAGAAGAACACACAGCACTTCCTGCTGCTCGGCTCAGGAGACGCTGATGTTTAACTGCGGGTTTTATTGATCAGTTACTTCCACTCCTACACAGACGGCTCACTTGCACTGTTGACTCTGGCTTTCCATGTTAAACAAGATAAAGTACGCACTGCAAGATGCTGATTTTCAAATAGTCGTTCACTTTTGTTTACCATAAATGCTCAAATTGGATGTTTTTTTTCTTCTTTTTGTCACACATTGTGCGCTTTAAAGTTCTTTTTATTCACGTGTGTGTATCTCAGGTGTAAGCATTGGTCCCACCAAAACTTTAATTTAATTTAAGAATCAAATGTTTTTAGTACTTTAGCCTATTCAATGAATTACTGCTCACTGTTATTGCTGTATCAAATATGTACACATTATCTTGTATATATCAAATTCTTCCTGCATGTTTATGCTGACCGTCTGTAACACTGGTACACTTACGTAAGACTGTTGTTACAGAAACATTAATAATCAACCAGCTTGTTATCGTGTCTGTTTGAGCAGCAATAAAACAGAATATTAAACAACTTTATTGAAGCTGAAAATAAAGATGAACGAACTATGAAACTGCATTGTTTCCTAATACCTTTGATTTAATTGTGGTTGGTAATCATACTAATTATGTGTAAAAGGTTGCTAATTAAACAAAAAAAAATGAACATGACAACAAAAGTAAGGGTATAGTCAATTTATTATATTATTTATTTAAATCATTTCGTGATAGTTCTGTGATACTGTATATTAACTTGAATCTGACATTGCAAAACCTTTGTTTATCCAACCGAACAGTTCTGACAAATAAAAAGCAGCTGCACGTTCTTTAAGAGCGCTCTGCTTAGAGGCTTTTGACTAAAATCGTGGGTCTGAGTCAGCTGTCAGATCCAGACTCTTCCCCCACATGTGTCCTCAATCGGTGGTGGGGCCATTTGAAAAAAAAAAAACAGCTTAGTGGTGCAGTGTTGTTTGTACAATCTTACCAAGCAGGACGAATCAAATCAGCGAGTGTCCCCAAACGCCACCTGTGCACGGCTGCGTTTCTGGAATGGGGCRGCTTGACGTCAGAGTGTCATATTGCTTTAGTCTGACAAATCTCTGCCCTTCCGTAGGTTTTCTGTTCCCTCCGGGATTTCAAGAGATCAGTATCAAAATACAGACTTCCACGCGTTTTATTATAAGTCATCATTTTATTATTGCACTGTTGTCAGCTTTTAAAACAGCCTTTTGTGAACATTTCAGCCACGTTCTCCTGTTTTCCACCGTTACCTGAAAACACTGATCAACTTCTACCTGTACTTTATAACCAGTTAATTCTAAAATATGTTATATTGCCTAGAATTTAAAATAATAATAAAAAAGCCTCAGCCACCGTCCTCACTGGGACATTAAAGTCCAGATTGTTTTAACCCAGCATTCTTCCAACGTCCTTGTAAGCATGCATGAGGAAAACAGTTTTCTACAGAGGACAATTTTACAATTTTTAGGAGCATAAATAAACATGCAAGTAGCAAACACCTTTTTGACAGCATCCATCTCCATCCATAGATTGAGAAATCCCCAAAATTGTCTTGTTTTTTTTTTTTCTTGTATGCAGCTTTATGGATTAACCCTTTCAGAGATGAACTATATATTTAAACCCCACAGTAAGCAGAAGATGGAAATGAACAGTTTCTGGATAGGGTTGCATTGACATGATAAAACATGAGGACATTCTAGTGATATTAATGTGGTACCTGTGTCTGTACAGCTACATGTTCAGACAGAAGGTCTTAATGAGAAAACTTACAAAACAGATGTCGTGTATGAGAGAAACATGCATATTAGTTTAGCATCTTGTGAACGTGTGTGTGGGAATTTTAGGAGAAATCCAAACATTTTAAAGTATTTGAAACTACTTGCATTCTTATTTTCGTTCTGTTTGATAATCCTGACTCATCTATAACAACCGGATAAGAAAACAAATTCTTTCTTGTCCTTTTCCAACACAATAAGTAGTTATTCTAGCTGAGAAGTCACTATATTATGGCTTTTCTTTACAAACATTTTTTTTGTTCTCTGTAAAAATTGTGCTGAGTTCCTTTTGGCAACATCAGGTTAGCTCCCTGTGCAAACAACATTTTCAGTATGTGGGAACTACCCGATTTGCCTGTTCGATCAAGTAAAACCTAAACACTGGCTCAGATTAAGAGCTTGTGGGATTCCAAATTGAGGGATTACGAACACAATATGGCTTAAATGTTAACATAAGTGATACCTTAAAGAGGCAACATGAGCAAAGTTTGCACTTTGATTTGACTGATTAAAACCAACCGATGTCCATTTAGTCCAAAGAAAGGCATGATATATCCATGTGATTTTCTTGCTGAGACTTATCCAGTCGATTTGGGGGGATTGAGAGGGAAGCAGGCAGAAAAAAGGGGAGTAAAAGTGTTTCAGTGAGGTCCTGAGTATTATCAGKGGCTACAGCAGATAGGATGCCTCCTACGAGGGTTGTGTCAGAGCTGGAAATAACAATTTTTGGATGAGCGTACCCAGAAAATAATAAATAAGAAGGAGATGACTGTTTTCATCCCTCCTCCTCAATGTCACTGTGCTAACTTGTCGCTGACGGCTGCTCTGAGCCCTCCTCCAAACTCTTTTCTCCATCTCGAGACTTTTTCCTCCTCTTGTTACCTAGAAACAGAGAACATGCCGGAATAAGGTGTGCGTTTAAACCCGGGATTGTATATGCTTTACATTTGGTGCATAATTCAAGTGTTTGTACGAGCTGCCAAAAAGCAAAAGGGAAACGATTCATATTTTTTCATCCCGGCAAGGACAGCTGCGGATCAGCTCTGCAGGAAACAGAAGGCTGCTCAAAGGGACGCGACACGTGACCTGTTGCTAAGATACACGAGGGACTGATGCTGCGGCTGACAAAAAAGTTCAGGCACAACCGACGGCGTGTGTGGATGAAGAGCTGTGGCAGCTGTGCTCACGACAAAGCGCTCACTCACTCAGCTTGCGCAGGAGCTTCTTGCCGACGTTCTCCTCGGAGCTGGACAGGGACAGCGAGCTGATGAAGGGGGAGGTGCATGGCTCTGTGGGCACATCTGCAAAGGGATGCAGGATGCTGTCGCTTCAGTTTAGTCAATCTTTAACCTCAGTGGCAATTAAAGCAAAACAAATGTTGCAACACATTTAATTTCTCTTCATTCTCTGAGGTTGTCTTTACTTATGGGGCGCCAAGTGTAAAATGAAATATTAAAAGATTTCACTAATATTTTTTCATTATTTATTGTTTGCTCACTGTTCTTGCATTTTGTTAATTTTTTACTAAATGTTAAATTTATGTTAAAAAATATATATTTAAATATTAAATCTTAAATCTAAATGCAAAAGTTAAACCTTAAATGTTGAAGTTAAATATAGAAGTTAGATATTTTAGAATGGAATACAGCTTTTGCTGTTGGTGCTTGGCTCATGTAATGATGTCATCATCCTGAGACAATTGCAATCACTAGCTCCAATGCAGCTAAAGCTTCCCTACAAAACATCAAACTTGCCGTTGTAATTGGTGTCTGAGCTGCACTTCAAACTGCTGGACCACAGGGACCACCCATTATGTTTTTTATGAGCACATTTTGAATTTAAATTTTAAAAATCATCTTTAGCAGTGTTAGAAGCATTAGCAGAAGTTAGTGTCAGATAACCAGCATGATGTCATCTCATGTGACAAACATCTACAATGGCTGCTGCCAGCCATCGCTAGCCACTGCTAACGCTGCTGAAGATAATTTTTAAATTTTTAATTCAAATGTGTTCAAAAAAGATTGATGTCTTGAAGGGAAGCCTTAGCTGCATTGGAGCACTAGCGGTTGCTACTGTCTCTGAATGATGACATCATAACATGAGCAAAGCACCAACAGCAAAGGCTGTGTTCCATTCCAAAATACCTAAATGTGAACTTCAACATTTAAGGTTTAACTTTGACATTTAAACATTTAGATTTAGAATTTAATATTAAATTTTTTAACTTATAAATTTAACATTCAGTAAAAAAAATATCTAAATGTGAGCTAAATAAAAATAAATAATGAAAAATATGTTTGTGGAATTTTTTAACATTTCTTTTTACACGTGGTGCCCCATATTTACTTGGCTGCTTTAAAACACCAACAGATGTATCAAAAAGATTGGTGGCTGAATCCATGAATGCATACCGTTGTCAGCAGAACTTTCAGGCCGGTCCTCGTGGATGTAGGGGATCTCATCCAAGTGAAGGAACACAGTATCATTGGGACTCCTTTGCCCATCAGATTTACTTCCTGTGAGGAGAAAATGAAGCATTAATCAAATTTGCTTAATCTCTGCCTATAGAGGGTGGTAGAGAGCTTGCTATTTATTAGGTTTTTAGATTAAATATAAAATATTAAAAATGTTAAATTCTCTCCAAAGACGAGTCACAACCTGCGAACCACATTTGATCTGTGAAACGGGATATGTTGTTCTTGACTGATAAAACCTTCCTGCATAAAGACCTTTTTTAGAGACAAAGCGGACAACCATCTGTCCTGAGATTTTTTTTTTTTTCAGGGCACAAACAGAAACAAGCGGATTGAGGGATGAGTTACACACTGTGCAATACAGATGGTATGTGAGAAATCCTTTAAATCCTGAAACCAGCACAGATTGGTTTGCACCAAATTTGTAAATTAGTCAATTTTATAGTTTATTCTTACAAATATTAAGAAATGATCCAAACTAGTTTTGTGAACCAATATTTAACCATTAAAAAATTAAAGCTGTTTTAATGTTTGTGTATACAGAGCAGCGATCTGCTTGGGGAGCAACACTCTGTTGTTTACCTAAATTTAATTTGTTTCATTTATTTAATTAGCAGCTAAAGGTCACCTTGGTCTCATGTCATATCTGTTGGGTTTTAGGGCTTTGCCTACAAAGTACCCAGCGAGGATATGAGTTTGAGCTTTTAGAGCTTCTTTTTCACTTCCAAAGAAATCAATAAATTTAAAGAGATTACACAGATTCATCAAAATAGGAAGCTTTTCTGTACACCAGAACGACAATAAAGGTGATTTTTTCTACTCTTTCTATACTTCTATTCAAAATATGACTCTTATTTACCTAAAGTTATWGGGATTATACTTGTTGAAAATTAACAACTCTACATCTTTAAGTCAAGCAACACCTGAAGTGTCGAYATTACCAACACCAAACCACACGCTCCTGTTTTGACCCTTAAGTCCCAAAAGCATCTGCCAAACTTACGAACGATCCGGTTTCTCTCGTTGAGTTGGGAGGTGTTGCAAAGGCCGCCGTGAGGATGAAGGTGCGTGAAGCGTGTCAGCCCCAGTCGGGTGTGCGTGCTCATCAGCGGGAGGGCGATGCTGTTCGAGCGGGCCTCTGGACCCGGAGGCCTGGCCTTGGCGTTGGGATACAGGGCATCGGGAGTCTGAGGGGAGCTTTCCATTCGGGTGGCCGTTAGAGCATTCTGGTAGTGATTCTTGGTGATCTGGGTCGCAAAGAAAATGCAAACGTTACAATCGTTTGCGCAACGCACGACTTCATCGCTATCCAWCCCGTCATGGAAACATGGACTGCAGTTGGACAAAGGGAAGAAAAGGTGAAGGGAGAGGCCACATCCATCACGGGAAGCAAATATATTCATGCTTGAAATGGAGCTCAATTATTCTTCATGATTAAAGGAAAGCGGGCATGTGGAGGAGAGAATGAGAGACAGGATGTCTGTGTTCAGTCAAAATCAGGGGATTTGGGTATATCAAAGGCAAATGTTGCAGCAGAGGAAAGAAAGCACATTTTTGGATATTTTAAGGCTGTAATGACACGAGCTTAAAAGTGAACGTTCTTGCTTGTGATAGCTATTTATTACCTCTAGTGTACAGGAAATTAGAGATTTTTTCTAATGACAGGAAGTGGAAGGTTGTATTCAGTTCATAATAATGATGTTTTTTCCTTTTTCTTTTTTTCATGCATTTCTGTGTTTTGTTGAGGCATTTCTGTTTGCAACCTTGATAATCTGCAGGTCTGTGAGTTGTCGAACTGAGTAATCTGGTAAATACGCCCCTCCAGTTGTGAGCTGACCCACACTGCCTCCACTCAGCAACGAATCAGACTGATTCAGGCTGCTTCCTCGAGAGCTGTACCTGTGAACTGAGCAGAACAGAAGACAGGGTTATTCTCACTAGTTAAGGGCAAAATCTTGAAATTATCATACTCTGTTAGCACTTAAATTATGTGTTGGAGATCAGTCTCTAATATCTGTAAAAATTACTGAGTTACGGCCATTTTTGTGTTGGTGGAGGCCATCTTGAATCTGATTGACTCAAAAAGTTAATCAGTTTTAGACGTAGGCCTACATCCAGTTATTACTTTCTGCAAGTTWGAATCAAATTCATTCAATCRTTAATGAGATATTTTACTTACAAAAACATTATCAATCCAATTTTGGATTTTCGTTGGCAGGCAGAATCAGTCCTTCTGTTCATTTCATATATCACTTAAACCAACAGGCTTGACTTTAACTCCAGAATACACAACAAAATGTAACACCTTTTTATAAATAATGTMATTTTATTCCATTTGGCATGAGTTAGGTCTCTTCAAACTGCAAAAGAAATTTCATAAACCACCAACAGAGTGACAAAAATGTGTACAAATCACATCATATGATCAGAGTTGTAAAGTAACTAAGTACAAATGCTTTGTTTTGTACTTAAGTAGAAATTTTGGTTATCTGTACTTTACTTGAGTAATTATTTTTCAGCCTACTTCTTCCATTTTCACACAATTGTGTGTACTTTCTACTCCTTACATTTTTTAGAAAAGTTAAGAAGTAGAAAAACATTAATCCTATTTCATTTTGGCTTGTTATTGTTTTTTTTTAAATAAAGCTCCACATAAATTGTGCTTCCTGGATAAAGTGAACTTAACTCTGGTTGGATGAGAAGTACCATACTGACAGCCTATTGGTTTGCATGTAATCCAGCTCACCATCATGTGACACAAATCGTGTCACACTCAAGACATAGCAGACGCATGTAGCCTAGTATGAAAATGGCCGAGGCAGATATACTGCAAATATGCAGCTCAGTGCCTCCCAAATTTTTCTACATTAACATTTTATTATGAAATAGTCATTATGTCCTTTAGAAAAATGTTTTTTGAGGAGGTCACCTCCTAATAAATGTCATTTTGAAAATTCCAACCACCTGCTTTTACTTAGTACTTTTACTTTCAATRTTTAATTATGTTTTATATCTGAAAATTTGCTTTTGATACGCAAGTACAGTAAGTATCAGATACTTTGACTATTACTCAAATAATATTTTTAAAGGAGACTTTAACTTTTACCAACGTAATTTTATGGTAACTTTTACTCAAGAATCACTTTGAAGTACTTTATACAATGCTGTGTATGATGAGGAAACATTCTACAAAGCTCTCAATTTTTATTATAAAAATACATTTTTTTAAATAAGACCTGCTTCAGCTACTGAATATACAAGCAATGTGTTCAATAAACCAGCAGAAAATGCTCTTCAATCAGCGGCTACACGTCTCCAGTGAGCACATTTATAATAGAAGGCAGGAGGTCACATTTTTCTTCCGTTCACACGAGCACTGCCCATTTAAAATACAACACATTCTTCTTGTAAAATCCACTGCAAACAAATGACTCAAACTCAAAGACAAAGAAAATACATTGTAAAAGCTGCTGTTTTAAATGTATTTTGGATCTGCTTAAAGGGGAAAAAAGTCTTTGAATTCTGTGTCAGATGTTTTGAATATTAGAGCTTTAAAATCACACATTTAAAATGCGCTCAACGCCCCCACAAGGAATGAGACAGAGTGAGGAAGGCTTCCTGCTTGCTCTGCAGTCTTAACTGGATTTCATATAATCCTGCGCAGGTCATGTCCTTCCACTGGGAAATTCTCTAAAACCACTTCTTTTAATTACTTTCTTGCCACGGCTTCTGCTGCAGCTCCTGTAGGCTGACAGACGCCGGGGTGGCTTTTCATACAGAGAAAACCACCACCCCTGTCACCACAAAAACTCTRCTCGTGGGGCCATATTTTACCACAGTAACATTAAGTGAATTGTTCTACAGGTACTGACTCACCGGTAGTTAGAGGTGGGATGAGTGCTGGCATGCCATAGTAGGAAAACGCTCCATTTTCGAACCGAAGAGCCTCTTTTCCGATCTCTACCTCCACCCGCCCCTGCAACACAAGTGTTTGCTATTCGACCAGAGCTATAAGTTTATGATGTGAAAAGTGATTCTGTTTCATCATTTCAAAGTCTTTGTGAGTTTAAGATTACCTGTAGAATCAGGACAAAATAGTCAACTGGTTTGTTTCTCTGATAGAGGTAGTGCTGAGGGTCGTGTTTGCTCTTGGGGTTGAACTTGAGCTCCTGCACAACRCTGGGGTGCTTGATGAGGCGCAGCAGGATCTTGTCTGACAGGTGACACGTCCTGAAAGGCTCCACCTCTGCGAAACACAGCCAGAGATCAGCATACAGACGAAGAACGGGAGGAACACACCCGCTGGGTKAGGCGACTGCAGACCTGTAGCCAGGAAGCGGTGAGTGGCGAGCAGCAGCTGGGGCGAGACCTTCACYTTCAGCTCGTTTTCGGCCACTTTGAAAATCGAGAAATCCTGCTGCTTCCTTTCGTGGTTGGACACTCGCCTTTTGGTCCGATTGTCAGCTGTGAACCCACACAACGTTAGAAATCTGCACAGAATACAATAGAATAAAACCATTTTGGCGCTTTGTGGTGCTTCAACAGTTAAACTGAGGACACAGGACGGATTAGATTTTAAAAAATGAAGCGAGTTTGGCATTTGAACGCCTCACAYCATTGAGAGCTTTTCCAGCCAATTAAAAATGAGAGGATTATGGAGATTATCTGTAAACTGGGGGTCAATCATATGCGTTATTCAATTATGCATAGGGAGAGGGCATGGTAGGGAGGGTGAAATCAATAATTTGATTAGAAAATGAAAGGGTAGGTGACATGGAAATAAATTAGAGTTCTGCTTGTAACATCCTATTTAATAATTTGGAAAGAAATTCTGTTAATTTCAACATATCTCTATAATGAAGTGATGAAAAGACTGCAATGTTTCTCTCGCAAACTGAGGATACAACATATAAGATCTGAAAATAATAAAAATAAATCAGAATCAGAATACTTTATTGATCCTTGGGGGAAATTCCACTTAATACAACTGCAACCGTTAACCGTAACTGCGATGCTATAAGGCAGGGCCATACAATTGAACTGCTTTGGGGGCCACAGTTACTGCAGACCAAAAGCCAAGGGGCCGAACATCCAGCAATTAAAGTTATTATGTAAATAAAACAAGTATTACAAAGATCTGTTACCTTTGAAATAGTTAATTTTGCTGCATTTACTCAAGAATATAACAAACAGAACCCTATGCAATAAAAGTAGTGATAACAAAACAATATCAAAAACAAAAATAACACATTCTGCCTCTTTTTTAACACAAATATCWTTTTGACATCTCTGACTTGCCAAATCTTTAAACCAATTTTATTTTCACTTTCATAGTTTTATCTTTGTAGTTTGAACTGACTAAAGTGTGTGCATRGAAAGAGAGAAGATTCTGACGTTTCTGTAGATACCAAACATGCCTATGTTTAAAAAAACTTAGAGTAATTAAAGTAGAAAACTCGGGGTTTKGGCTTAAGAGATGAATGAACCAATTGGTAGGCCGACCTTTGGCCACCAGTTGAATACAGGGGCTATAAGGTATCAAATGATTGTGTCCATACATACTGTAGAGGTCGGTCTCATCAACAATCTCAGACTTGATGATTTCTTCAATRACATCTTCCAGGGTGACGATGCCCATCACTTCATAGAAGGGGTCTCCTTCGCCTTCGTTGTTCACTCTCTGCACTACGGCCAGGTGAGACTTACCTGCGTTTGTCAGAACAGAGTAAAAGGTTTTCAAAATGTGGAGMCAAATCAACTCATGCAATGGTTTGAGAATATACTCAACTGTGTWGTCAAGAAGAACTATGAGCTGAGATCACGAACACAATAAAGGTTTTACATTGGTGAACAGTCAGGACTGTCTTTGAGTCCTATTTTTTTTTTTCAGACGAGACAAACCTAGACACTGAGTTTAATCTGGAGACATTTTGGCAGCTCCAGAAACCCAACCCCTTACGTAAACCCTGAGATTATGCAACCGGTCTGAGGATGCCCGCGTCTGCCGTATGAACTGGCCATGCCGGTGCCACCTCTGGAAACACATGTACGCTTTACACGCTTTGAGCAAACCTCCCACTCACTGTTCGGCCCGACAGGCCCGCCAGATATGGTGACGCAGCGCGCCGACAGCATCTCTGCACCGAGCATAAAGCAAATGTGACAAGAAGTCAATGTTGCTGCAAACCTTCAGCGTCACGAAAGCTAAAAAGAGGTAAACAACCACGAGCAGAAGAAAMTGAGCGGACATTTTCCCCAGTTTTGTTCCCAACTCAAACACAATACAAAAAAATATATATATATATTACTACATTATGCTTTTCTTAGCCTTTAATCTCTTTAATCTTTTGCTGCAAATAAGTCCAGKTGGTGACCAATATGTTACCTAACCAAACTTATGTTGCGATTTCAGCACAATATCAGCAGCTCAAACTGCAGGAGCCAGGCTGATTTAGGAGGATCGCTGCCAGAGGATAAACGAAGCGAAAGCTTTAATCCAGTCGAACAACGAAAATCTGAAAAAAAAAGAGAATCTGACTGAGTGACTGGCAGCCGTCTCCACGCATTCAGCTGTGTTTGTGTGAGATCAGCTGAGGAAGTGGTTCAGCTCGGCTTCTTTGTGGAGCACAGGTGAGGAAAAGGAGGATTTGCCCCTCAGCTGCTGATGCACCCAGGCACTGCATTACATCACTGGCATGTTACATAATAATCTTGCAGAGTGAAACGCACTCACACACCGCAGACACACATGCCCGCAGCAAAACTGGGTCCAGCGTTGATGTTCTTTTTATTGCAAATGTTTCTGCTCCAGCAGTTCCCCAGACTCCCGCAGTCTATATTTAAAATCCATGTGTTCAGACTGCGCATGACTGGTCTATTTGTGTATGTGTGTTTACTGCAGACAAAATACTTTGTACTTTCTGTTTCCTGCTTGCTTTATAGAAGCATATAAACATTGCACAAAAAGTAAAGAAATTTGTGTTTGGTTGATTATTTCTTTGTTGTAACAACGCTTCTTTACAATRAACCTATACCATTAGTACGTCTGTTAATTTCTCTTTTAAATGGTGCCACATTTCTAAAGAACATGCACTTGTCGGATGAGCAGTAGAGCTGAAGATGTGGGTTAAGCACATGAAAAATTTTTCAAAATTTCTCAGCCATTTTGCTTTCGCTATCAACACTTGTTTTGAGCTTCTGGTAGCTCCGGGTGCTGCCAAGAAGCAAAGAAACAATCTATCAATAATTCATGCACAAACTTGTAGAAAAGAACAAAATCTGTTCCTGGGTTTTCTAAATGAATGTGTATCTATTAAATTATCTGTAATAATTTTTTTAAGAAACTGCTGCAAAACTGGCAAAAACATAATGTGTATTTTATGTTAATTTCAACACTGCAGAGATAATAGTTTTATAAAGACTGACTAATTCAATCAAACATTTAAACAACTTTATAAATAAAATTAATATCTGAKGTCTAATTTGGATTTTAACCTTGTGATTCTTCTATGTTTCATTTTTTGTGTGTGTAATAAGGAAACTTTTACCGTTCTTGTCATTCTTTATTGTCATAAAATTTAACATTTACATCAAATGTTAATTTTGCCAACATAAGGAAGAAACAGAACATGCATTTTAGGTTATAAAGCTAATGTCATTTTCCTCAGTATTTTCTGTTATTTTTTGTATGTTTTTTGTAATTATTTGGCATTTCCAGGTGAGCTGTTGACTCATCACTCCTCTTAGTATTCTGGATATAAGCCTCAGTCACTGCAGTTTATTGCCAGATCCTACTGTTACCTCTCACTGTTTTCTGCAACTGCTTCCTTTTTGCTCCTGTTTCCCAAGTGTTCCTCTTTTTTGGTTTGTTCTTGTTATTTTGTTGCCTCAAATGTTAGGTTTCTCTCACTTCAACAAACACTAGTTTTAGTTTGACTAAAAGGAAATGTGTTTGATACTAACAGCTTTTAGACCATAAAGGTTTAGAGACATGAGGTAATTTGACTGAAAAACGATGCAAAAATAAACTAAAATTCCAAGAAATTATTTCATTGATTTCAACAAGTAGTCTTGTTTACAGTGAAACGAAAATTTTAACCAATGTCAAATTAAAATGTTTAACTAAGAAAAGCTGGGTTTGATCTTTGTCAGAGTAATAAATACTGATATTAAAGTCTGCTGAATATATAAAACAGCTGGGCTCATTAAGGATCAGACTCTACTACCTTTGAAGGTCTATCTGCCACAGAATCACTAGCAGATCCTGTTAGTTAGGATAAAGTGCCTCCATGGATTTCTCTTGACCCACATACATCAATACACCAGGCTTTTCCTGTTCTTTTAGCTGTTTCCAGCTCTTGTTGCGATTTTAGTCTGAAGTGGACTTCAGAGGAGCTGGGTAATGTGATCTACCCAACTAAATGAAAAAATATCCCTTATCATCTTAAAAAAATCTGTTGCTTGTGTGTTTTTAGGATTGTTATCTTTCTGAATGGATTTYTCATCGTGAGTTATTATTTCTCTCAGCTGTGAAATAATCAACCAACCCAGTTTGAAGCCATCGCAGGAGCACCGGTGTTCAAAAGGTGATGTACAGCTACTTCGTTCTGCAAAAGACATTCAATTCAATTCAATTCAAAAATACTTTATTGATCCCAGAGGGAAATTAGGTGTTGTTGTAACTCATTTAACTAAAGATTTATTGTAGATGCTGATGGCTGTGGGCAGGAAAGATCTTCTGTAGTGGACTGTATTACAGTGAAATTGAAGAAGCCTCTGACTGAAGACATTTTGCCTTTCTATGACAGTCTGATGAAGATGATGGTCAGGATAAACAAGGTTGTGATCTGAATTACCCAGAGGAGGTCTTGCATTGGCGAWATATGAATCCTTAACATTTGTGTAAAACAAATCCAATGTCTTGTTTTCTCTGRTAGAGCAGCTGATAAAACTGTTAATATGATATAATTTATAATCAAGTGTTTATATTAGTGGGGAATGAATTTGTTGCACAATTCTGTGGAATTCTTCTTGAGTCATGTTGTGGACCCTCAAATATTTTAGAATTTTTCGGATCTTTTCCCTCTATGATCACTTGTGTATAAAAAAACAGAAACAAGAAAAGATTCTTACTCTTCCACTATTTTAGTCTCCTACAATGTTTTCCTTTTCTGTCACATATAATTCTGTTGACATTTCCATTGTGTGTTCAAACACAGAGCTCACCCCTGCTCCTCTCAGTGAGACATCGTGGCAGTTTCCAGCCGAGCTTCCTGAACAGCAGGCGCTGTTAATCCTTYGAGCAGGCATGAGGGACAGGGGGGAAAAGGCTGCAAATGCATTTTTTATGGTTTCTCCTCACACTTGCTGATGACCTACAACTTCAAAGTCACAGTTGGTGGACAATTAAGTTTGCACCAACAGAGAGGAGACTCCTGGCTTCACCTTCAGACCCAGCATCTGAACACTGCATAAACAACGGACTTGGTGGAAATCATGGGTCAGGCTTCAGGCTGTGGGTCATTTCTGGCAAAAAAGCATATTTCAGAATGATGAACTAGCTGAGGTAGGAAACTTTCTGAGCTGTGGGTGGTAATCTTAATTCATGTCTCAAGCAACAGCATGAATTGAGATTTTGGGTGTTAAACTTTGCCATAAACGTCTTGAATCAACTTTGTTGCCAAATTATCTCATAAAACATGGAATGGATTAAAATAAAGCTTTCAAAAAGTAATTCAATAAGCCTGGTAGTACAAGTACAACGGATCAAAAATTTAAAATGCTGCTGCTAGAGTCCTTACAAAACCAAAAAGAGATCAGCACATCCGTCCAATTATGAGGTCCTTACATTGTCGCTCAAAGAATAGTTTAGAATCAGAGCCCTGAACACATCTCTCTTCTTCAATGCAGATCTTTAAGATCCTCTGAAACAAACTTACCAACCATTCCAATAGTCAGAATTAAACACACTGAAACAACCTTTGGATTTTATGCACTCAAAATCTGGAATATGCCTCCTGTTCACTGCAGCTCCCTGAGCTTTTTAAAAACAAGGTTATTTGCTATTGCCTACTCTTAATTATGTTTTTATTTTAATTTCATCTTAATTTGTTTARCTTGTTTTGATATGTTTTTCCTTAATGTATGTTAACTTCTATGTGTAAGCACTTTGAGTTGTCTTTCGCTGAAAGGTACTAATAAAGCTACATATAACCCCAGTTCAAGTTGGCCACAAAAGCAGAAAAAAAATAACTAAAACTCAGCTGATTTTCTAGATAATGAGCTGATATTTGGAGAGGTAGATGACAGTTATTCACACTCCAAGCTTAACAGATTGTGCATAATGTTATTTTCAATGTCTGTCTGAAACCTTWAAAAGGTTGCAGGCAATGTGCATTTTTTTAAGGAATGCTACAGGCCTTTAATGTAATCACAGAAATAGATTTGCATCTTAATTACCAAAGCAAAAATAAATAAATAACACAAAATGCTGCCGCTGCAATTCTTACATAAAAGCCTCTCGTACTTTATGTGATGCTGACAGCAGTGCAGTCTGAATTGCTTCATGCAGAGCATTGATTTTAAATCTTGTTAAGCGTTATTATCAAGATTGAACGGAGTTCCCAAAGGGAGGCGACAGTATTTACTTGACAATAATCAGATGATAGCACTGCAATAGACAGTGAGCTGCAAAAAGCAACGATTAGATAAAACGTAGGGCAAAGAGGAAGAAACCYCCCTGCTGTTGTAGTGAAATTAAGATCTTACTTTATTTTAAACACTTTATCATGACGACCAAAGTGGATCTGATAGAGAAAGAGGCTGCAGCAGAAATAAATGATGAAACTGAAGATTCCAGGACTGTCATGGGAAAATTTCTTCAATCTCTCATCACTTGAACTCTTAAGATAACTCCATATAACCTCTGGCTGAACCAAACACTCTGTGTGACACAAGATCACATTACACATATGGCTCTCACTGTTCAGGGGATCAAAGGGCTTTACTGGCAGGCCCACTTCAAGCAGTGAACTGGTGCAGGCATTGACTTTTGCTCTGAAAATGAAGTTTTCAAGTGTGCAGTCACTTCAAAGGAGGTTTAACTTCTAGAAGGTGGCAAAAAGTTGCTTTGAGATGCTGCCTCGCCCACTCAACACTGACTACCTTGTTTCTAAGTCAGGCACAAGTTCTGGAAAGAAACAAAAAGTCACGCTGGGGGTGTATGTGTCAGTGTGTGTGTGTGTGTGTGTGTGTGTGTGTGCGCAGAGGACCTCCAGAGACCACCAGATCTCCTGTGTGGGGTTGAACTCACCTCTTTTAAACTCATCCAGCATCACATCCAGTTTGGTGTCGCTGAAGACGCAGTGCATGGGATGCTTGTAAAACTGAGTGATGGTTTTCAGCGGGGTGCAGTCGTCGGGGTCCACGAAGGCCAGGTCTTTGACGAACAGGATGTCCACGATGTTGGACCTGTCGTTCTCGTAGACCGGAATGCGCGTGAAGCCGCTCTGCATGATGTCGGACATGGTGCAGAAGTCCAGCAGGGCGTCCGAGGAGAGCATGTAGCAGTCTGACAGCGGGGTGAGCACGTCCTCCACGGTCTTGGTCCTCAGCTCCAGGGCTCCCTGGATGATGTTCAGCTCCTCCTTGACCAGGTCATGGTAGGGGTCTGTGACGCGCAACATGGCCATCAGCTTCTCTCTGGTGTAAAAGTTGCTGATTTCCTGGTGTAGCATGATGTCCAGGATCTTTGAGACTGGGTAGGCGATGGGGAGGAACACCAGCATCAGCAGGCGGGTCGCGCAGAGGGTCTTGGAGGCGATGGCGAGGCTGTGCCTGGACGCCACGGAGTGAGGTAAGATCTCCCCAATGAAGAATATCCCCAAAGTGCACGAGGCGGTCGAGAGCGCAGTCATGCCTAAAATCTGGCACATCCACACCACGAAGCAGGTGTTGGTGAGCACGTTGCCCAGCACCACCGTGCACAGGATGTAGTTCCCGTGTTTACGCACGGACTCGATTTTCCGCGCGTATTTCTGCTCCTTCTCCGTGCCGCTGTTCTGCAGGACCCGCAGCTCCACGGGGTCCAGAGCCAGCATGCTGATGTTCAGACCGCTGCAGAGAGCCGAYAGCCCCAGCAGAAGCACCGACACGCCTGCCTGCAGCCAAACGTCAGCCTCCGGGGGTCTCTCGACCACTGCTAGCCAGAAGTCTTTGGTGCTGAAGTGCTCCCATTTCACTCCATCGAACGCGCACATGGAGTAGTATTTGATGGCTTCATCTCTGCGCAGGTCTTTGGCCAGCAGCTCGACCAGAACTGAGTTGTGACTCGAGGCTGATTTAAAAGAGCCCAGCAGCTCGATGTCCGAGCTCCGGGAACTCTCCTCCTCGCACGGGTTCCTCTCCGCAGCATCTCGCTCGCTCGGCTCCTCTATGAAGGCGATCCACGGGGCGGCAGGTGCGGCGCTGAGGTTCGGGCTGTTGGGATGTTCGGAAACTGGAGACGCGGAGTAGTAAACCCTCAGAAGGAAGCGGGTCCCCTCGGTGGCTCTCAGGACGCCGTCCTGCACGGACACGTCCCCGCTCTGGGTGTCTTCGGGTCGGACGCCGAGCAATGCGGATGCAGGGGACGGCAGGGAGGAGAGGCTGACGGTGAGGCGGAGGAGGAGGAGGAGGGAGAGCTGGCGCGGATGCAGGATGCAGCAGGGAGCATCCGCAGCCATCATGCTGAATGAACTGCTGAGGGATGTGGGGAGATGCTGGGTCACGTGGTGCGCGAATGGGATGGATGGAGCAGCTGGTTTGTTACGGGGAGAGAGGGGAAACTCGGATGAAGGGGGGAGGCTGGGGCAACTGAAATATAAATGACGAACTCTGACGTATGTCCGACTTGCTTTCTGCCGCTTTCTAAAAATAGAAGGTAGGAGATGCCCGGGTGTGAATGATTAATATGATTCAGCACTTSGCTCACAATAAAAAACGACGGTGGGAGAACAAAATCAAACAAACTAATAACTGTCTATAAAAGGAGAGCTAAACCAACAAAAACATAATAAATAACGAGTCAACTTTTCCTTTTTTTTCCCCTCCTGATGAGCCTACTGCAGCTCAGGCTCGTTGCTTTCTGCTGAAACCCACTAGATGTCAGCATGGTACCTGTTCAGAGTCATCCCTCTGCTGAAGAGGAAGTTTGGAGTTCTGACTTTATAACAGAAATATACAGTATATGGCATAAAACAAGTATTTCATAGAAAAGTTGAATGCATTTTAAAAGCCCACATATTGAATGGACAATGAAATGCATTATGAATTTTAGAGGCTGTAATTATACTTTCCATGAGTCTTTCACAGAACCTGAACACAAACAGGGTTTATTTCAATTAGCTGTCAGAATTATTA